TGCTTATTTATTTACTTATTCGATGGAGGCGGAGGGGGAGCAGGGGGGACCACAGTCGTGGAGCGGCTAGCGAACTCCACTCTGCGCCTGGGTTACCTCGGTTCGAGTCCCGGCCGCCGCGTGGTGAAGTATGGTCAAACAACCCACGTGACCGACACGGCGTGGAAGAGGCCTTTGCCCATGGGTGGATTGACAATTTCTGTCACTTATTAATTAGATCTGTCCGTCCCAGGTCTCCTTTGAGGGAGGAGTGTGGACTATGTGGATTCTCACCCGGTTGTACGGTTATAAGTAAAGGACTTTGACGATTTGACGGCAATCCGTGAGATCCACACTCCTGCCCACAGCCCTTTGCAAGACAACAATCGTGAACACAACGCCCTCTGGGCACCCACGGCAGACTCGCTGAGTTATTCTCAAGACTCCATCACAGGGGTGGGTCCAGCCTTGGGACATATGTCCGATTCCTTCTAGAATCGCGAACATACCGAGTGTCCCAGGATGCCCTGAGACTCGCTGATGCTGCCACGGTTGTTGCCCTGGGGCTCGTTGTTGTTGTGGTTGTTGTCGTGGTTGTTGGTGGTGGTGATGGATCCCTGTCGCCTAGTCCCGCGCTGTGCCGCGATGGTGCCCTCTTTCTCCTCTCTCTCTCTCCTCTCTCTCTTTTTTTAACCGGATCGTCTTTATTGTGGGCGGTGCAGCAGGAGACTGCTGCAGCAGCAGCAGCAGCAACAGGGGCCCGCTAGCCCCCGCCGCCCGCACACTCACACATCCCCCCCCCCGCTCAGTTCCTGTAGCCTCTGTGACCTCGAGCCCTCTCAAACGTACGGCCCTTGGAGCGCACGTCCACGGCTCTGTGTGCGAGTGCGGGACGCCGGGTGCCGGTCCAAAGTGGCGGTAGGCTTCACGGCCTTTCCCGGGACCAGACAGGAGCACGGCGTTCTGGCCACGGGCCGTCCTCTCTCTCTCTTCTCTCTCGCGTCTCTCGCGTGCTTTCGATGTCCTGTCTACCTTCATTTTATTACCAATTTGTTGAAAATAATCTTGAGATGCCATTGCATTTCGACGATATGTAACATTCTAGTCGCTCTTCCCTATCTATGTGTGTCGCGGCTCCGCACACAGATTCGCACCTGCGTCCAGTGTCACTGCGCCACGAATTCCAAAATCCGCGATGCGACTGGCAGCGCCAAGCGACACTTGGCAAGGGGTGCAGGAGTCGATCTCAGCCCGGGCGCTGGTGGCTGCGCCGCGCTTGGCCGCTGTGTCCCAGCGCTGTGGAGGCAGCCGCGAGGGTTGGTGGATCACCGCAGCGATGTCGTGAAACTCCCTCTTCCCGTCGGCGTCGAGGAGGTGCCGCACTCTGGCTTGCTCTGAAGAAGGAGGTGGAGCAATCGCCATCTGTTTCTATCCGTACGAGGACGGAGTGGTGATGCCTCCTCGCACAAGGCGTGGGTGTTCTACGCGTGCTCCGGGTTCCTCCCCACGTGAACAATAATAACAACAACAATCACGTTCATCATTAATTGGCTGATAACAGCTTAAGTAAAAATTCAATGTAGCCGCTGGACCGTCCTTAAAACTAGCCATACGACTCCGTATGGCCCTCCTGGATAAATCAATGAATATATTAATAATCTAAAGACGGGCATCTATCGAAACCAGACAAAATATATCTAAATAAACAGCCCTTGGTTAAATACGCACGGCGCGTATAACCTACTGTGAGCAAATAGTGGGATTCAAATATTAATAAAATACGTCGCGCTGAGCCCAGTAGAATCATCTCAAATATATGCACAGTGGCCTAATGCACTCACGGCTAATGATTGCCTTAATCATTAACTCTGCCCGCCACCCTCCCCCAGAGGGGGCTGCCGGACGAGGGGGAGGAGAGAGGCAGCGTGAGTCGAGGGATTTAGGAGGGTCAGGAGGATTTAACCCCCTAAGTCCGATGTCCCCTGTCGCTTGCGTCTTGTTCCCTGAGATCTGAGCCGGTCCCATCTGAGGTCCGCTCCCCAGACAGCCTCCCCCAACCCCCAGACCCCGTTCATTATTAGCCGAGGCGCTGTAATTGTGCTTCCTCCACGAGCCGCTCTCTTTGCACGAACGCAGACGCCTGCGTCGCTGGTGTCGCCGCCTCTTGCGCAATGACGCGGCCGCGCGAGACTGTTCCGAACAGCGACGAGAAGCTGCTACGAGCGCCAGAATGTTCCGCTCCGGACAAGGGCGTCTGTTCCGAACACGCTCGACTCGCGACGATTGGAATCGAATTGAAAACGCCGATCTGTTGTCGCCGTTCCGAGGAGGAGACACGTTCCGGACGCGCGGATGCGTTGAGCAACACGCGGGGTTTGTTCCCGATGTGCGTGTGGGAGGGGAGTTGTTCCGTGCAACTTTGCGGTTGAATCAACATGAAGTTGTTCCGCCAAAGTCACGAGTTCCGGACCAACGTATTCCGCTCCGCAAGATCAGCACCAGAGGCCGCACATCCCATGGTGGAGTGTTTGTGATTGTGTCGACGCGGGCAAGGGGGTGGTTTTGTGACCAAACTTCACACCACGCTGCTCAGTGCGAGTTGGTAGAGTTGGGGCAAAGCTGCCACCACGATCGCTTCCGATGCACGTGTATGCGTGTGTGTGCGTGTGTGTGTGCGTGTGTGTGTGCACGTGTGTGCATGTGTGTGCGCGCGCGTGTGTGTGCGTGTGTGCACGTGTGTGCGTGTGTGTGGGGGTGTGTGCGCGTGGGTGTGTTGCGTGTGTGCACGTGTGTGTGTTTGCGTGTGTGCGTGTGTGCACGTATGTGCACGTATGTGCACGTATGTGCATGTGTGCGTGTGCGTGTGTGTGCACGTATGTGCATGTGTGTGCATGTGTGTGTGAACGTGTGTGTGTGTGTGCGCGTGTGTGTGCACGTGTGTGCGCGTAACACGTGTGGTGCAATGGTTAGCGCGCTGCGCTGCGAACCCGCTATCACCAGTGACAAGTATCTGAACTGGTCCTGGGCCTCCCCTAGGTCGACTCAGCCTCAAACGAGTACCTGGTGCTGTGTGTAAACATCGCCACCAGAGGGACACATGTGGCGGGCCGTGGTGCTGGCCACCCACCCCCTCGTGTGCCGTGCCGGCCTTTATAGGTGCTCACTAACAGTTCTTTCCCCAGCAGGCTAAATGGGGGGGGGGGAGGTCTTTGTCTTTGTGTGTAACATGTTGGGAGAATGAGAGACGCTGGCAAACAGGCTGCGCGTGGTGGGTTAAATTGTGGGTATTCTCACCTCTTCCACGTGAAAGAGTAGGCCAAATACCCCTCCTAGAGAGGCTCTCGAGAGCTCCCTCTAGTCGGGGGCCCTTCCGCTAACAGTGGCACACGGGGACAATGCCAGGGCTGCACCTTGCACCCATCAGCGTAGAGGAAGCAAGGTGACCTTGACAAGGCAAAGTGACCTTGACAAGGCAAGGTGACCTTGAGATGGCAAGGTGACCTTGACAAGGCAAGGTGACCTTGAAGAATGACCTCTCGGCGATTCGTCTCCACCGCCAACTGCGATTGTGCTTCAGGGTAAATTCATGGCACCTCACGTTCATACATTTTTTGGATTAACCTATCCCCGTCATAGTAACGTAACATTGGCGCGCTGGCTCAAAACAGCCAATTGAGAACCTCCCTCTGGACTTGACTCACAGCGAGAGACGGAGACCCGCGGCGCAGCGACCCGCGACTTGATGGCCCCGCGGCCCCCGCGGCCCCCCCCCCGCGGCCTCGCATCGTCCGGCACGACGGACGCGCTAATTCGGGCACTGGAGGGGAATTCATTGAGACTCGGCAACAACCACAACCACCACCACCACTGCCCTCCAGTGTCTCTCATTGCAGCGCTGCGCTCAGCCACTTCTTCTTCTGTCACTCCCATGCCGTGATAGGGCCCCCCCGTGCCGTGACGGGTCCCCCCCCCAAGGGGTGTGAGCTGACGCGCGCTCCCCGCCAGGGGTGATCCACATTCCTCTGCCCCCCCCCACTAAGCGGAGAGTCCCCGGCCCTGCTGATAGAGGCGCCCGAGGGCCACGCTTCGCCTCGATATCAACCCATGGGTGTCGGCCTGAAGCACCCGTGACGGGCAGCCCTCGACTCCCTCCCTCCCACCTCGCCCCCCCCCCCCGTCAATCCCCCGTCACCCCTCTCATTCCTCCCTCCCTCTGCGACCCGCAGCAACGCCGCGTGTCACCTGTCAAGTGCGTGCAGGAGCCCCACTGCACTAATGACACCGCCATATTTCTCAATCCACTGCTGGATGAAGCACCCCCCCTCCCCCCCACACACGTTACATATCATACACTCATTGCGGGGGGGGGGGGTCGTTTGACCATACTTCACCACACCAGTGAGTGCGGGTTTGTGAAAGGGGGGCAGCATCGCCGCCGCTGTGAACCGCGTCCCTTGACCCCCAGCGGTTTCGTAGAAGACAATTTTTTTCACGGACCGGGGGGGGGGAGGGGGTTCATCATTGGGTCTTTCCCCCTTTTCAAAGAAGCTCTTCAGCGACGTTTGTTTTTAACTCATTGTGGCTACTAGGGGTTAGAGCTTGTGTTTGTGTGTTACTCATTGTGGCTATTAGGGGTTAGCAGCTTGTGGACTCACCAACACTGTGACTGAGACGAGTGCGCAGTGCGGGAAAGAGGCGCGGACGGAAGTGGTGAATACTTAAACAATGGGGGGGGGGGGGGCACGCGCGGACTCACGGCTCTCACCTCGTGCTGCTGCTGGGGACCGCTGCCTTCACCCACACACACATCCCATCACACACCGCGCGTGCTTCTCCAGGAAGCCTCAGCGACACTGCGGCTTGCGCAGTCGGCTCCTGCTGACAACGCGAGCCCTAACTATGGAGGAGGATGGGGGGGGGGTCCTCTTGACCCCCCCGTGGTATGGGAGGGGGGGGCAACCCACCACCCCCGCGTCCCGCACCCCCTCTGACCCCGTGCCCGTTGCGTTACCGCCCCGCAGGTACAACAGCATGGTGACGGAGAAGCGCGCCAATGGCGTCATCGCGCTGTGCTGGGTGCTGTCCATCGTCATCGGACTCTTCCCGCTGCTGGGCTGGAACAACCTGAGCGAGCTCAAGAAGAAATGCAGCGTCGTCGTCAGCAACATCAGCAGCAGCAGTAACGGCAGCAGCAGCGGCAGCAGCAGCAACGGCAGCGGCGGTGTCTCCGGCGATGCGAGCTGCGCGGACTTCCGCTGCGACGCGGCGTCGGAGGCGGCGTGCGCGCCGCACGCGCTGCTGTGCCGCTGCAACGTGGTGGGCTGCCTCTTCGAGAACGTGGTGGACATGGGCTACATGGTCTACTTCAACTTCTTCGGCTGCGTGCTGGCGCCGCTCGTCGTTATGCTGTGCATCTACGCCAACATCTTCATGGTGGCGCGGCGGCAACTGCGGCGCATCGAGCAGAAGAGCGGCGGCTCGGACTCGTCGCGGAGCTACTGGCAGAAGGAGGTTCACGCGGCTAAGTCGCTCTCCATCATCGTGGGGCTGTTCGCCATCTCGTGGCTGCCCCTGCACGCGCTCAACACCCTCGGGCTGCTGTCGCGGGTCAGCAAGCCGCCGCTGTGGCTCATGTACAGCGCCATCGTGCTCTCGCACTTCAACTCGGCCGTGAACCCGTTCATCTACGCGTACCGCCTGCGCGAGTTCCGGCTCACGTTCCGCAGGATCCTGCGGCGCAAGGAGAACTGCGCGCGGCGCGGGAGCGGCTCGGCCATCACGCGCACCGCGAGCACGCTGAGCGCGGCGAGCAGCGTGAACCGGAACGGACACCACCATCACCACCACCATCACCACCACCATCAGCAGCAGCATCAACATCATCAGCACTATCAGCATCATCACCCCCACCATAACGAGCAGCAGCAGCAGCTGGATCATGAGCATCACCAGCAACAGGCGTCAGGGTGGGCTCCTGCCGAAGGCATGGCAATGCTGCCATCATGACAGGGATGTAGGGGGGGGGAGGGGGTCCACGCGGCCCCCCGCTACGCCCCCGCGAAGCGCCGTGGTCACCAACCTGTGCACGTGCTGCGCGCACGAAGCGCGGCGTCACTTGCGGGGCGGACTGAGCTGGAGTCAACTTCTGGCTGAGGCTCGTGGCTCTCTCACTTGCGGCTGACTTGTTCCTGGCGCCAGGAGTTTTGAGTTACACATCTGCACTGCTATTGATAAAGACGATGGAGATGATGTTGATGATAGTTGTAGAGCGGAGGGAAGGCCTGATGAATAGGGCTCTCATATGGGGGAACACGCGGCCGCTCCGACGATTGGGATTCGGTCGGTGGCGAGAGAGGCAGCGATATCACGAGAATAAAGAATTAAAAAGCAGGACCGGGCACGGATTGTCTGCGGAACGCGAGCAGAGGAGTTCCTCCGCTCCGCGTGCAGTCTCCACCACTCAGGGACTAAGTGCGCATCCCCCGCGGAGAGGGGGTCTCTGCGGAGGTCGCTCGGGATATGAACGGAGCTGTTCCGAACGGTTGAAACTGTCGGGAACGGAACGAGAAGGCACCGGGGGCGACCCCCCAAGGTGTCCGTCTCACCCGTCGACTAGACGGGGCAGCAGGGGCTACGAGACGGGTCCATAGTCACTCTGTGCTGCACCTGTGCATGGTGCGCCTCACCTGCGCTCTTCACCTGCACACTCCTCGTTTGTACGCACGTTAAACTTCTTTCGCACCGCACGTCGCCAGCCGTGCTCGTCACACTCCTGAGACGCACAGTGTGGGGGGGCTCCTGCACAGGGGTGGTCCCGGTGCTGCTGCGCTCAAATTCCGGGCCCCCTCCTCCCCATCGCGCCCCCCCCCCTCCCCACTTCCGTGCAGCTACCGCCGGTGCCTCGGCCACCCCCACCCCCTCCCCAACCCAGCGACTGATAATGATGGAATGCAGCCGTGGACGTCAGAGTGAAATGGTTCGACTCCCAGTGCCGTGAGGTCGGTTCTGTCCGCGCTCGCTGCTGTGGAGTGCCGAGGTGCCGCGAGGGGGGGGGGGCGACAACTTGTAACGAGTCTGAAGCTCTGCGATCGGTTTTCGGGTTTGTACTGCCGTGCGTTGTTCGGCATGATGTCCGACGTTTCGCTCTACCACGTGCTTGGTGGTAACTCCAGTGCAGTTCCGGACGAGCTCCCCCACCCAGCGCGTGGAGCGAAACGTCGGACGCGTCGAAGAGCTCCTCTTCGGCGCAATCGCGAGAACCTCGGCGTGGCTGGCGGCGTCCGCGAGCAGCGCGGTCGCGGTCTCGAGCGAGGAGCTGAAGCCGGAGGGGCCTCGACCGCGTCGATATTCAAATTCGCCTCGTTGGGGTTTCCCCCCAGCCCAGCCCCCGCCGCAGCCGCACGATTCAGACGGGATTAGTCATTGCGCTCGTATTTAATATTCCCATTTTCCCCCGACATTGGCGCCCTGGCTGCCTTCTTACGCACTCACGCGCGCACACGCGCGCACGCCTGCATGCACACGCACCCCTGTACGCACACACACGCGCGCACTCACTCACGCACGCACGCACGCGTGCGCACACAATATAAAGGCAAACATCCCCCGTATAGCCTTTAACAGATTGTCGTGTCAAGCGCTGTTAGCTTAGCAGCACCTATGACGACCGGCACTGCACACTAGGGAGTAGGTGGCCAGCACCTCGCATGAGGGGCCGCCTTTGTCTCCACAGTGCTGATGTTTAGACATCGCACCAGGTACTCGTTTGAGGCTGAGTCAACCTAGGGGAGGCTCGAAACTGGTTCAGATTATCGTCACTGGTGTTGGCCGTGAGCAGGAATAGAGCTCGGTCGCCGGGTTCGTAGTTCGGTGCGCTAACCACTGCGCCACCGCTCCGACATTCGTCATTTAGTGACGGTGACATCACCACGGGACAGACCCAGGTGCCATGGGTTGACTGATTGAGATTACTGGGAGATGGACAACCTACGCTCCCCACTGTGTCAACTCGCTGCGTTTTATCCGTCCGGCGCTCCGCTCGTTGTTGTGAGCGTCACTCTGCCGTTGTTGTGGGAGGGCGATTGGCCATTAGTGTCCTTCACGAACCTCGTCCGCAAAGGCTTATCTTGAGACCGCTGGTACCAGTCATTAGCAAGTCCATAATATACACACTGGTACGTACACACACACACCTACACAAGTGCACACAGTGAACACTGACATGCACGCCTACGCATTGGCAATAATATAAATACTGTACTCAAACCGGCACCCATCAACCAACAAACGCACGCTCTACACATGCGAACACACAGACACACCTACACACAATCGCACACACGCACACACACACACACGCACACACACGCGCACACACACGCGCACACACTCACACGCACACACACACGCACACACACGCACATACACGCACACACACGCACACACACTCACACGCACGCACATACACGTAACTCTGATCAAATGCAAGGGAGTCAAGCGAGGGGCGTCGGATATGGGGGGCGCTGTAGGGGGGGGAGGGGGTGGAAGTCACTGGGTCACGTTTTACGCATTTTCCGGAGCTCCTTACGAGAGCAGAAAAAAAACGCGAGCTCAGCAGTGTCGATGCGGGTAACACGTGCGTGTGTACGTGCGCGTGCACGTGTGTACATCCGTGTGTGTGCGTGTGTACGTGCGCGTGTGTACATCCGTGTGTGTACGTGCGCGTGTACGTGCGTGTGGTTGGGAGCGGCGGCGCAGTGGTTAGTGCTATGAATCCGGCGACCGGAGAATGATTCCCGCTCACAACCAATACCAGTGGCGAATATCTGAACCCGGTCCTGGGCATTCCCTAGGTCGACTCAACATTAACCTGGTGCGACGTTTAAAACATCGACGCTGGAGAGACAAAGGCGGCCGGACGTGGTGCTAGGCACACCACCCCACTTGTGTGCCGTGCCGGCTTTTATAGGTGCTCGCTAACAGCACTTGCCCCAACAGTCTGTTAAGGCTTTACGGGGGACATTTGTTTTCGTTGTGCACGTGTATGCGTGCGCGCGCACGTGCGAATAAGCGATGGTCAATTTGGGTCCCGCGCTGCGCCTACGATCCCGGTGGCCTAAGTTCAATCCCCAGCCGGGCACATCACAGTTGACGCGCGTGACACCTACCATATCTCCTAAATCGACTCAGCCTTAAATTAGTAGCACCAGGTGCCATGTGTATGTGTGTGTGAACGTCAGCACTCGGGAGACAAAGGCGGCCGGGCGTGGTCCTGGCCGCGCCACCGACTCGTCCGCCGATGCGGCCTTAATAGGTGCTCGCTAACAGCGCTTGCCCCAGCAGTCTGCGAGGCTACTCGGGGGTGGGGCTCTATGAGTGTAGATACACGTGCGCCTGCACCACCAGCCAGTGCACTGCACGGCAGGGCTCTTGTGGGCGACTCCAGGTGACTGCGTGAGGCCCAGACCGCGACCCACATCTGGATCGGCGATGGGGGCGGGTCACAGGGGTGGTCCACTCGCTCACCAGACTACAGCCTTAACGCTACCACTAACCCACGAGCCACCCAGCCAACAGTACCAAGACGCCTACCCCAGGGGGAAGGGGACCTTTTTCTGCCAAGGGCTATTTGGATATTTATAACATCATTCGCGGTCCATATAAAATTATCAACTTAAAAATTAGCCTGTTATATTTGGTCAAACATTTAATAACTCACCCCTAATGTGATGGCTGGAACTGCTTCTCTTTGGTGAGGCGTGTGATGTTAGCTGGTATTGATGATGTTGCTACTCGCAACTGATTTTCCAGGTTTGCTCCTAGATTTATTGAATTTCGAGTCCCGCCTGCGGTTGCCTTGGCAGGGCCACACCAAATGATTTCGCGGGCCTCATACGGCCCGCGGGCCGGACGTTCCCCACCCCTGGCCTACCCCCACCCGGGGGATCCCTTCCCACCCGTGGTTGTCAGCTCGCGGGGTCGCGGCGCCCCCTCTGAGCGCGCGGTCCCTGTTCAGGGCCCAGCAGCGCCGCCCGGGATCCGCGCTCCTGGATCCCGGGCTCCTGGATCCCGGGCTCCTGGATCCCGGGCTCCTGGATCCCGGGCTCCTGGATCCCGGGCTCCTGGATCCCGGGCTCCTGGATCCCGGGCTCCTGGATCCCGGGCTCCTGGATCCCGGGCTCCTGGATCCCGGGCTCCTGGATCCCGGGCTCCTGGATCCCGGGCTCCTGGATCCCGGGCTCCAGGACTTCCGGACCTCAACTCGCTGCGGCCTCGAGCCAGGGATCCTCGTCAAAGTGTTTTTTTTTATTTTATCACTGTCGTTATTAATGTGGGGTTTAGCAAAAATATTCATGTAATATATAAGTTATATAACAGGGGTTCTACAGTCAGCGTGGGTGTTTCATCACTCCGGGCTTGGCGATTACATCCATGCACTGCCCCTTCACTCCCCCCTCTCCCACGCGCCCCCCTCTCTCCCACGCGCCCCCCCCCCCCCACGCGCCCCCCCCCCCCCCACGGTTGAGAGAAGTTATCACACTCGCAGCCCTGCACCCACCCTTGTACCCTCATCCACTCCGTCGCGCGTCACCTGACAAGCTCGCTCGTGAAGAGCCCTGCTTACTCTTCACCTGCGAGAATCGACGAAGAGCAATGAGCGAGAGAGAGAGAGACGATGGGCGAGGAGGCTCGCGCTGCGTTCCCACGGAGAATTGAAGTCAAACTCGAGCCGTGCCAGACTGCTCTTAGAACGGTGGCCTCTGATTTTCCATGCCCCCTTCCCCATCCCCCCGCCCCCTTCCTTTCTCTCCGGAGGGTTGCGATAGTCAAGAAACAGAACAACCCTCACGCCTGCTTGGGCTCACGACAGCCAGCCCAAGTTCCACGTGGGGTTATGGTCGAGCGGCATGCACCTCTCGCGTCGGGGTTGCACTGCCCAGGTAAAGCGTGCCAACACGGCTCGGGTACAGCTCGCTCGAACCGGGTTCGTCTCGGAACGGCCCGGCTCGGGTGGAAGTGTCCGTGGGAACGCAGCAGCGGCAGAACGTGCGGGCAGCATCGTCACCGTTGCGTGAGTGTCACTTGTCGCTGTTCAGCCTCTGTAAGCGTTAATCATCGCTCACGCGCGCCGCCTCGCAATCCACCGCCTCCACAAACGGCGGCCGCGTCCCTCCAGTCCGGGTTTTTGTTTATTTGCCTCGCGCAGCGCCGCCTCCCACGACGGCCACTGCCGTTGCGAGTGGGGCCGGCGGAGGGCTGAGCAAAATCCCGGTGCGGATCGATACGGGACCCGGAGCCCACCGAACCCGGGTCTTGTGAATGCCATTGTGGGGGTGGAGGGGTAGGGGTGTAGATAATAGGGGGGGCGGGGTAGGGGGCGTGTAGGTAGGGTGGGGGGACACGATTGTTTTAATTTGTCAATGAACGGCGCACGTGGTTTGATTCCTAACACCAGACGGCTGTGTCAAGTGCGGTTTTATGCCGTGGCTGTCCGCTTCTTCACGCGTTCACAAACAAAGTCACAGCGGGCGTTATTTATTTATTTTCCCGTGGTCTCGCTCCGGACTTTGTTTTTCTATTTTCCCGATCGAGGCGCGAGTGGAGCCACGTGTTGGCAGTCACTCCCCAATTGCTCCTCACCTGTGTGCTACCTGTCCAGTCAGACTCCCCTCCTCCTCCTCCTCGCTCACCTGTTACCTGTCCCCGGCCTGTGTGGTGCGACATGTGATGAGGAGTGCCACACGTGATGAGTGCCACACGTGACGGGTGCGACATGTGACGAGTGCGACATGTGACGAGTGCGACATGTGATGAGTACGACGAGATGTACCGTCCCGACCCTCAGGGCGAGCTCGCACCAATAAAACGTGTCCACTCTCCTGGCCCCGCGTCCGCGTCTCTCTCGAGGTCTCCGCGCGGGTGTCTCTCTGCGCCTGCAGATGGATGGAGATGGGCAACAAGTCGTTCGCAGACCCCTTTGTCAATCCACTGCTGGATGAAACACCTCCCACGCACGCCGTGCATGTCGTGGGGGATGTTTGACCTACTTCGCCGCTATGGTCAGTGCGGGTTGAAGGTTGGGGGGGGGGGGTCTCAAGACCGATTCCGATATCACTGGCCACGAATACACCGACCTGAGGTCGCCGCATTCGTAGGCGCAGAGCGGCAGCACCACTGCGCCACCGCTCCCGCCGTTATCTCACGCGCATACCTGTGCTCACCTGTGCCGTGACGTCACGTGCACACCTGTGCCCCCCCCCTCACGCCACTCACCTGTGTCGTAACGTCACGTGAACACCTGGCCCACCTTCCCACCACTCACCTGTGCCGTGACGTCACGCACAGTCCTGCCGGGAGTCGGGCACCCTGGGTAATGGGCGCTCAGCTGTGGAACATAACTGGGGGGAGGGGGGGGTGTTGACGGTGGCGGCAATCGCCCCGCCACTGGCGAATGAGAGGTTGCGAAATGAACGCGAAACTTGAGGGAGGCTCAACTCCAGCGCTGCGAGCCGCCCATGGAGGCTGGCAGCGCTGAGCCGCCCCCACGGTGGCCGAGCGGCGCGAGGGGCAGACGGAGACCGTTGCGGGGCTCGATTTGTGATGTCGAGAAGAGTGAGGCGAGAGCGTTGCGTGGGACTCGAGTCGGTGGCTGTGCGCCTGGACGACCATCCATGGTGAGAACGCGAGTGGGTGAACACGACACACAGTGGAAGGTGAACACACAGTGGAAGGTGAACACACGTGGAAGGTGAGCACACGTGGAAGGTGAACACACGTGGAAGGTGAGCACACGTGGAAGGTGAACACACGTGGAAGGTGAACACACAGTGGAAGGTGAACACACGTGGAAGGTGAACACACGTGGAAGGTGAGCACACGTGGAAGGTGAACACACGTGGAGCAGGAAACATGACTTAGTGAACACCACCACCACCGAGGGCGAATAGAGCTGGGTTGTTCCAACGACACAGAACCGTGTACACCGCACACCGTCTCTGTGCATGATGCAAACAACCATCAGCAGTTCCTGAAGAACTGCGTCGTGGTGTCATCTCCGTGTCTTCTGTGACCAGCAGATGAATGCGAGCAAATGTGACCGGCTGGCAGCAGCAGCAGCCGTGACGCAACGATAGACAACTGGTGGAGCCGGTTTCGTTATAATTAGGACTCATCAGCGCGGCATGGTCGCCATTTGTCACCACTGCAAAGTCTGATTCTGCCTTGCTGTTCGGAACCTAATGCCGACGTTACGTGCAATGGCCCTTTTACAGGAGGACGGCTGTAAAAGGCAACGCTACGAATTAATTACGTTCGGAGAAAAAAAAATCGGGATTTTTTTTTCAGGACGAACTCGCATATTCGAGTCTGCGATGTACGAACGTGAATCGTCGTCGTGCTAACGATAGTGGCGTCACGTGATTGCGCGCGTGCCATCAAAAGCGCGAGCCGCGACGCCTGCGGATCAATTCGAAAAGGCGAACACAGA